GAAACGGAAAAATCACAGAATTGGACCAAATAAACTACGAAAATCCTATACGAGGGGAAAAATAAAGAGAAAATAAACCCGAAATAAAGACACAAAAATGGGACAAACACCTTGCTCGTGGAACAACAATTGACGCACAGGGCTGGGTCGTCGTTCTTCCCAGGTTTGGGCACCGTCGCAGCTGATCCATCTAGGATGATAGGGTGAACGACCACGCCATGTTTGAACGTAAGTTGCTGGCGTTGTTCCGTGGGCTGGGCGCACAACGACTCATGATTTTGGGTCCACAACAGCGGCATCTGGCCCGTCATTGGGAATCAGGTTTTTCGGAGGTACGCGGTGCTTCTCGGCTGCGAGCCAGGTCACCAACAAGCAGCTAGCCCATGGTTGGGCAGTTCACGGGCCATGTTCGCCGGCGACGCAGTTGAGCACATTGAGATGCCCTTGTACGACATTCGTCGGTCTTTGATGAGTAGGTCCATGTGGAACACGTCATTGGAGACGTCCATCCAATGCTTCTTCTTCGTCGATCTTGTTTGGTTGTCCGTGCGGCAATGACATGTTTCAAGGAATCCGAGGACGAGATTGTTAATTTTGATGCACATATTATTTTTTTGGATTCACGCGTCCACGAGAAGTTCGTTGCATCATGCCTCAATTTTCCTAATATGGCTGAAGAACGTGAGCATGCTGGGGTATATGTGCCGTCGGGAAATTTGATGATGGACGGGAGCATGAATGTCCAAGTGTTGGAGAATCACATGTCTCTGTCAGGACATGATGATGTAGTAGTAATGGAGACCTTTAATGAGGAAGTTGGTCATGCAACACCTCGACCGGAAAAGACGCTTGGGAATTCTAAGTTATTGCATGCTAATGGGGGTGGGATCTAAAGATTTTCTTTGTGTGGATCCTCTTGCTGTGGAGGCACTTAGGAATATTAAGGTGGCTAGTGTTCCATACGAGCGACCGGCGGTTGTGCGTAGACGCCTTGTGGAGTTTGCGGTTGGTGATTATGTGTGCGTATTTTTTACAGTGGACAGCTTTTCGGCTCGTGCGTATACCAAGTTGTTGGTCCGTAAAATTGGCCCTGTCGAGAATGTCGAGAAAATTGTTTCCAATGCTTACCGCCTTCGGCTTTCGTCACATATTTGCACTTCTGACGTGTTCAACGTCAAACATTTGATGCCATTTATGGGCGATAACTCTAATGACAACGAGCTCGGTCTGGATTCGAGGGCGAATCCTTCTCAACCGAGGGAGGATGATGGAGACGAGCTTGCGAGGGTTTTTTTGGAGAAAATGGACCAGCTCTAGTTTAATTATTTACTTGCATTATTATTATTATTATCATCTTTCCTTAGTTATCTTATGTAAATTGTTCGAAGACTATTTGTCTTGGAATAAAGACTTGTTTAATAAGTTATGAATTTAATAGAATTACGAGTCTATTTATTCTCTTATTTTTTGATTGAACGACCAATTTTTGTTGAATAAGAAAAATTATCTCCTTGAAATTTTTATTTTTACCTTTCGTTCAAACTGCGCTACATCGAAAAGCTAGCTGAAATAAATTTTAATCGGATTGAAAAACTACCAAATAAACTTATGAAACAGCATGTAGTTTTTATTAGAATTTTGACTGTAACCACTAATATTCGTAAATGCAGGGGCTTAAACAAAAGTAATGCTTTTCATGGCCAATTCTCTGTTCGAGTTTTCATTACCGATACCGAGGAGATTTTTGGTATTTTGACCACGAAACCGGTGGGCTTCGTTAAAATGACCACGCAACCATGGGCTTCGCTAAAATGACCACGAAACCAGTGTTTGTACGTTAAAATGACCATACATGATATATTGAGCTTTTTTATATTATTTAGAACTATTTAGACACGGGAGAAGACATTTGTACCCCT